GGATGAGTGAGGTTCCTATCTTCTGCAACTGGAGGAGTACTACGTATAGAATGAAAATTGATGAGGAAAATATGTTGAGCTAGGGCTGTTTTTAAGACACCTAAGTGGGGATGTCAATCAAGTAACTGAGAAGAGAGATCTGGGAGTCATCAGTAATTGAAGCTCAGAATAGGGAGGAAACAATTCTCGAAAAAGGCCCTAAAGAAATGTTTAGATGTAAAGGCTAGAGGCAGGTGAGCCTCAACAGAGGCTATGAAGCTGCAGTTAAAGTAGCTGTACAACCATGAGTGGAATCACGGACACCAACAAAAGACTGTTAATGATGAGGAACTAGTTAATAGTAACAGATGGTACTGAGAAGTGAAGTAAACTGAAGACTGGGAAACCATCACTGAATTCAGAGACATGAAAGTCACTTGGTGAGCAAGAGTAACCTTATTAAGAACGGTTTCAATAAAGGTTGTAGAAGTCAAAACAGACTGAGTGGATGAATGGGAATGGAGACAGAAAAAGCATCCAACTGTTTTGAGAAGTTAAGCTATAGAGAGGGACCAAACAGGATGGTAACTGAAGGGAAAATAAGTAGGGCGGTTTGTTTGTTGTAACAGGAAGTCTTTAGCATGTTTAAACAATGGTGAGAATATAGTAAAATAGGAAAAACCTACGTCAGAGATTCCCAAAGAAGGAAGGACTAGGATTCAGAGCAGGAAGAGGCACTGGCCTGAAGAGGTGTGAGGGAAAGAGAATGATGCAGATGTAGGTGGGTGACCAAGTTTTGTTGTAACATTTTGTGGCAGCTCCCAACTGATAGCTTCTACTTTTACCTATAAATTAAAAAATGTTACCTGCAGAAAACTTAAGAGAATGGGGTGAGGGTAATAAGGTTTAAGAATATTGGTTTGAAATAGTCATTGCAGAGGGAGAGACTAGAAAATAGTGGGATTATAGGGGCTGAGACCCCATTTGACACTGGTAATCATGAATTCATTGTGATGTAAATCTGCTCTGTAGTGATTTCCTTGGGCTTTTAGCTGTCCAAATGCAGACACAGGCAAATGTCTCATTTTATCTGATTCCAAAAAAGAACTGACAAAGAAATCTAGCCTGTTCCAAGAGTCACTGGAATTTAAGCTGGACAGGAATCGAAAGATATTAACAGAAGGCGTTAATGGAGAGAAGGTAGAATCAATGGCTTGAATGCTCCAGTGAAATCAAAGAATAATATTGGAGAAATAGATCAATAAACAAAGTGGAAGGAATACAGTCAGTGAATAAGATGCTGGTAATAGTGTTTTAATTTGGGGTAATGACAATGGCCAGGACATAACTAAGGGAGTGGGTGGCTAAGAGAGAGTGAAAATTATTGGAGACTGGGTCAAGGAACAAGAAACCAAAATACTGAATGGACTGTCCATGTAACATTAAACCATCAAGGGAATGATGGGAAGACCAAGGGCTAGCTACTTAGAGGAAAGTAGGATTGGTGGTTACTAAGGACAGTAATGAGACTGTGGTATAGCTGAATAGGTTCAAAGGAATTAGACTTTGCAAATGAGTTAAGTTCTGAAGCTACAATGAATGGGAAGAACATGAACGCTATCACCAGTATGTATAAGGGATAAAGCTTTGTTAACACTTACTCTTGTGTTGTGCTTGAAACATCACGTTGTTTTCATTATGCCAATGGCTATCACTTTATGGCAAGACCTGAAGGAACTGTCAGTGACTATAGATAGGTAACAGCAGGATTCTTCTCCTAAGTACTGAGCATATTTATAAACAGAGAGGAAAGACGATATTAAAAAGGTAGGGATTAAATGATGGATTAGATTGAGAGATACTTGTTTTCCCATGCCTAGGGACAGGTTGGGTACAGATAAGCAAGCAAAGATAAGCCTCTGCAAGTTCAAAGAACATAGCCTTTAGAGCCCAGACAGATCCTGTTCCTGGCCCTTCTCCAGCGGTAATAATTAAGTGGCATGGAAACCCAGACAATTCACAATGGACATTTACTGGCACAAGGATACATACAAATGTCCAAGCGGAATAGTCCTTTCAGCAGCAGCACAATATTCCAGATCCCCATTCCCCGCATCTTGGAATTGTTACATTTACAAGTGGTTTCACCTGCACTTGTACTTTCCCAGGAGAGAACTCTATTGAGTAGACATGAAGCCACTCAGTAGGGAAGTTCCTGGTCAGCAACTGCTACATTCCTAACAAAACTTTCTGTTCACGATAAAGAGCCAAAGAGGCAAAAAGCTGTTTGGAGCCACTTTTCTCAAACAGTAATTAGGTATAAGATGGGCTTCTGGTACATTCTGGATTCTTGCTTCTTCCATTAAGTGGGAATACTACCTCTTGTAGTTTTGCTATAAAGAATAACTAAGACATATCAGCATAAGAGCCCATACAAATTGGGTGATTCAATGGATATTTTGAGAAGCAGCCTGGTGTAAAAAAAAGAACATGGGATTTTAAAGTCAGATCTAGGGGCACCTGGGTGGTTCAGTCAGTTAAGTGTCTGACTCTTGATCTTGGCTCAGGTCATGATCTCACGGTCCAAGAGTTCAAGCCCTACATTAGGCTCTGTGCCAACAGCACAAAGCCTGCTTCGGATTCTCTCTCCCCTGTCTCTCTGCCCCTCCCCGACTCATGCTCTCTCTCAAAAATAAATAAAAAACATTAAAAAAAATAGTCAGGTCTTTATTCTAATATAGGGTCTGCTACTAAAGAATTTCAACTTCCTAATCCACACAGGGGAGAAAAATGTCTCTTGTGTGTGATTGTAAGGAGTTTTTTAAATTACTGTGGGAGCCAATGTCTAAAAGCTTCCATTTCCTCCGTAAAAAATAAAACATGGTCACCTGATGGGGGTAGTTGAGGGTGAAATGGGGGGTGAGAGCAGTGAAGGTGTAAAATAACTGCCATGGTAATTAGGAGAGGAAATACACCAGGTACCCAAAAAGGATTGCTTGTTGGTAGTGAGGGCTTGGTTGAGGTTGGAGACCTGGAGTACTCAGTGGCACTTATTACACAGCTATGTTTTTCTCTAGCAGCCTGAACAGAGGACCAGAAAAGATAAAACAACTGGAATGACACAATGAGGACGAGGATGCAAAGGAGGCAAGAAAATGCAGTGATGGATAGGCCATTCAGACTGGTGAATACAGAAGTAAATTCCCCCAGGAGGGCGATAATGAGAGGAAAATGGAGAGGCTCAATATAGAAAGAACAGAGACTGCGTGACAAGGTGGTATAAAGGATGGAAGAGCTGGAATTAGATTACAGACATGCAGGTAACATTAAAGAGGTCCCAAGGATTTGTGTTATCCCTTCCCCCCCTCCCCCCATAACCATCATCATCATCTACTTCTCCCTTGGGTTCCTCTCCCTCAGATCTGGCTGTTATTACAGAATATAGTCCCTCAAGTTTCCCCTTTCTGACTGCTCCTGAAGACAAGCACATAGACCTTTTCTGTTTAGAGGCTATACTGCTCATCCTGCGGAAGACAGAAAATAGAAAGTAACAACTTGGGGAAATGGTTGAAGTTCCAAAACACCCCAAAATTCTTATAGGTTTCATCTCTGTTCTGGGATACTGACTTTCCAAGAGGCGTTCCCTAAAAGCCCTGTGATTTCTTAATCTATTGTCCTTAAATATCTCCTCCTTGCCCTAAATTTAGCTGAATTTCTTCTTGTAAGATAGAGTCCATGAAAAAATAGTTATGAATGAATGCATATCTGGCTCACAAATGAGCCATTTAAGTCAGACAGATTTAAGTGAAGGACAGCTAGAAAAAGCTCTCATTTTCCCTGTCATCTGGGCAGGAACCAACTTCCTGTTGCTATTACCAACATTAAAATTGTACCTACAGACCTTGCTTTAACCAGGTGCCCGGGAATCTTCTACACATAGAAGGCAATTTTTCCACTGACAGGGCTAAGGCCAGCAGATATGCAATAACGGACAGAAAAGGATGGTGCCAATAAAGTAGGCAAAGCCGCCTGCCCAGAACATAAACCAAACAGAGTAAAAGCGGGTTTATTGGCTCCAGGGAAAGGAGCAATAGCACCCAGCTCTCAGGCAATCCCTCACTCTACATAAAGGCTGCATCCAGCCCAAGGTTCACTGGCTCCTTCAATTTGAGGGTCCATCCAGTGCCTCCCTTCCCGGGGCTGGGGAGGGCTAGCTGCCTGACGGCGAGGTTCCGGGCTGTTCAGCAGCAACACCTGGCCCAGCTGAGGCAGTCTCGTAGTCTGCGATGCGGCGCTGTACCAGGGCAGGCATGAGCTGCACGTAAGCGGCCATGAGGCGGTGGTTGGAATGGATCAGCTTTCCAGCACAGCTGTGCAAACAGGCCTCCTGGAAGGAAGACAGGGTGAAGCAGAGGCCAAAGGTGTCCTCTCGGGTCCGTCTCTTTCCTTCCCATCCCTAGCCTAGGGGTGAGGGTCGTGGAAAGGCCAGGGACAGAGGTACGGGGAGTGGCGGTTGGGAACAGTCTTCGGCGCACCTCCCTACTGAGCTCCCCGCCTAACCTCCTCAGCATCCAGAGCTCGGTGGTGCAGGCTGGGCACGCAGCGCTGGAAGCAGAGTTCCGTCATCCGATTGTAGACCAACAGGAAATCCCGCAACTAAGAGAAAAGGGGACAAAGAACTCAGCGATAAGGGGTTAACTCGAGGCCGCGTCTTCCGAGATTTCACAGGGCCCCGCGCCGCAGTCCGACGTTCCCAGCCCTCAGATCTCCAGCCAAACGTACACGGATGCTGACTGAACTTATGACCCTGCAGCAACTTAGGGCACACTCACGTTTCTCAGCTGCTGTTGCTGCTGCTGCTGTGCCTCCATCGCGCCACCGGCGCACCCTACGTCACTTCTCCACAGCTTCTTGGTAACGCCCCGGAAGTGATCTTTCCTCCTTCCACAGGGACTGAGGGGTTGGCTCAAAGATCGCCCTACCCCCGGCTTTAACATCATTTCCGCCCTTATAATCTGCGACGTGGCCGGCTTCTTCTGCCCGGGAGGGGACGTCACTTCCACCGAATCCCTGACCTGCTGCTAGGATCGCGACGGGAACTGGAGCCCGAGGTCCTCGCGCGGCCCGGGCCTGGCGCCCTAAGGGGAAGAGCGGCCCGGCCGGAGGTGAGAAGGACATACTTGGGCGAGGGGAAGTTGAACGCACGAACCTGCCCTGAGGGAAAGATGCCACTGAGCTCTGGGGAAGGATGAGGACACACCTGATGCCCAGGTGTAGGGGGGGCGGGGACTCACACACCTGGGGGACATAACTGACTTTGGAAGGGATCACCTATGTCCTGGAAAAAAGAGGCTTTTCCCAGAGGCCGGGAACATACACCAACTGCTTCAACTAAGGCCTTGGGGGGGAGGGCCCGAGGAAGAGGAGGTGCATGAGATGGAGGAGGAGGAGACCACCTGAAGAAAAGGGGAAGAAACACTACAGGAGTGTGAAAGGCCAAGCAAAGAAAAACATACCTGGATGGGAGGAGTAGGCTCTTGAGCCTTGGAAAGGGGTTAATCTGATGAGGGGAAACAGATGCATGGGGATAAGCTCCAAGACAGCACACACTTTATCTCTCTTGGTCACTGCTGTCACCTCAAATAATGCATGACACATAGTAGGCACTCATTAAGTGTCTGTCGAATGACTGAATGCATGAATGAACACTGGAGCCCTGGTGGGGTTGAGGGTTCACGAGAAGACACTTGGGGCTTTGGTGTGCATGTGTAAAAATAATGTGCCTTGGAGAGGAAAAATACATATCCATGAGAAGAAAGGAGTGGTGGCTGAACCCCAGAATACTCAAGTCCTAGGACAACCTCTAAAACTTCTGAAATGGCAAGGAGACCTTTCTTTCTGGAGTACTGGCCAGTTTCCAGAACTGTCTCTGTTGGGCTTTGCAGGGCGCTGGGGTGGAGACTTTGACTCCAATCCCTTCCCTAGCCATGACGGACGGGATCCTAGGGAAGGCAGCCACGATGGAGATCCCCATCCATGGGAACGGTGAAGCGGGGCAGCTTCCTGAGGATGATGGGCTGGAACAGGTGCTTCTGTTTGATTCTTCTCCATATTCTTTCAGTTTAGGAATCCCAAATCATAAGCCCTGGGCTCTCACCCCATTCCAATAGCCTTCCCCTAACTTCTCCAACTCCCTCTAATCTTTTTACAAATCTTCGTTCTGATTCTATGCAGACTTCCCTTGTGTGCTCTCTCTGTGATGCTTCAATCCAAGCTTGTTCTGACCCCCTAAATGCTTCAGCTGCCCCTATGTTCCTGAAGCCCCCCTCTTCTCTGGCCTATAGGACCTCCAGCAGGTGATGGTGTCGGGACCCAACCTCAATGAAACCAGCATTGTGTCTGGTGGCTATGGGGGCTCTGGTGATGGACTTATCCCCACAGGTATGAATGATCAGAACAGGACAGGAAGCTTTAGTGCAGAGAGAGAGAGGAATGATTCTGGGGAGTATAGGATATGTCAAAGAAAGCTTGAATTATGTCTGGAGATCTTGGGAACTTGTGCTAGTATGAACCATATGGACTGTCCTCAGCCCAAAGCTAGTGCCCAGGGTTGTCCAGCTGCTCCCACTTGCCACTTAGCCCCTACATGTGTCAATGTGTCCTTTCTCTGCTACCACCACCTGAATCATGTTAAGAACTCTTGTTTCACAGAAATTCTCCATGCTCTAGAGCTTGAGCCTGATTTGGAACTCTGAAGCTTCTTAGAGTTTTACTTAGACTCTAAAGCTTAGAGGAGCAAAAGTCCCTGAATCTCACACTGACTAGGGTTCCACATGGGAATGTTAGTGATCCACCATCCTTGACCTGCCACCCCATATTCAATGTATTTTTTTCAGTTTCCTCTGTCCCCATACACCAGCAACTCTCTCCCCCACTCCAGCCCCCATCACCACCTCAGAAGGAGGCCAGATGTATATTGGGGTTTGGGTCTCAGGGGACAAGGTATGAGTTCTTCCTAGTGAGTAGGAGAATCTCATTGTCTGTAGTTTCTGCTACTTCAGGGAAGTAATTTTCATATGCTGGGTGGGAGGTATGGGTGGAGCCACAGAGACATTTGATTATATCTGAGAGAGGCTGGTGTCAGAGAACTTGGTCCTTTAGGGTCTGGCCGCCATCCATCTCACAGTACCACTCCTGCTGGCCCTGGAGATGAGGTGGCTCGGGGCATCGCTGGAGAGAAGTTTGACATCGTCAAGAAATGGGGCATCAATACATATAAGGTGGGATTTAAGCACCTTTCCCTTTCCCCAAACTCCCCCTGGCTACCCTTTTCCCATCTGGATTCCACTATTCCATCTACGGCTGAGACTAGGAGCCTGGGGATGCTAGGGTAGATACCAGTTTGGAGGGGCAGGGGTGGGGGGTGGGGGGCAGGTCTCTGACCTATTCCCCCATTTCCCAATCAGTGCACAAAGCAGCTGTTATCAGAACGATTTGGCCGAGGCTCCCGGACCGTGGACCTGGAGCTGGAGCTGCAGATTGAGCTGCTGCGTGAGACGAAGCGCAAGTATGAGAGTGTCCTGCAGCTGGGCCGGGCACTGACAGCTCACCTCTACAGCCTGCTGCAGACTCAGCATGCACTAGGTGACGCCTTTGCTGACCTCAGCCAGAAGTCCCCAGAGCTTCAGGTGCCTTGGTCAGGCCAAAGAGGGTGGGGGGACTGGGCCCGGGCCCTCCCAGGCAGTCAGCCCTCAGCCTCCCTCCCTCCCTCCCTCCTGCAGCCCAGAGGGAGAACCCCTCCAGGGTGGGCCCAGCCCTACCCCCGGCAGCACTCACCTGTGGAGGCAGCCTAAGGGTTTGTACAGAGGTTCAGAAGTTGGAGGGGTGGGGGAGACGACACACTAGATGCCTCACAAGTAACCCTTTTCTGCATCAGTGCTCGGCCTAATCAGAGCCCTTCCCTTGCCTGCTGCACTAGCTTTCCTTATTCTAGTCCTGTGAACTTATCTGAGAATCCCACTCCCACATTCCTACCCTAGGCATCTCTGGGTGGTCCCACCAACTTTCTGGCTAAGAGAGAGCCTTGCTGGAGGCAGTCCTTTGTTATTCCAGTTTCAATGGCTGTTTCCTCCCTGGGGAGGAGGGGAATGAGGGCCCTACAGCTTGATTCAGGTAGGAACTGTTACTCAAGGCTGTCCTCCTCTTCTGCCTTCAGGAGGAATTTGGCTACAATGCAGAGACACAGAAGCTGCTGTGCAAGAATGGAGAGACACTGCTAGGGGCTGTGAACTTCTTTGTCTCTAGCATCAACACGTTGGTCACCAAGACCATGGAAGACACGCTCATGACTGTCAAACAGTATGAGGCTGCCAGGTGTGGGCATCAGCAGGGCCCAGGGTTTTGGGAGTTGGCTGGCATGGGTGGAAGTTTGAGCTTTGGGGTTATAAGAATTGAGGAAGGAAAGGAAGAGTATGTGTGACACAGGGGTGGAGACCAGCCTGTATCACCCCTTCCCCAGACTGGAATATGATGCCTACCGAACAGACTTAGAGGAGCTGAGCCTAGGCCCTCGGGATGCAGGGACGCGTGGTCGACTCGAGAGCGCCCAAGCCACTTTCCAGGCCCATCGGGACAAATATGAGAAGCTGCGGGGAGATGTGGCCATCAAGCTCAAGTTCCTGGAAGAAAACAAGGTGCCAACCCCACCCCTTTGACCCCAGTCCACTTCCCCATCTGTAACACTGACCTACCCCTAAAACCCTCCCCATCACTGGATGGGGAAATGCAGCCTGGCTAAGAAGTGAGATCTTTCCCCCAGCCCCTTCACCTCCTGGACCTTTTCAGTCACCCACCCTCCAATCCCTGACCCTTTTCTATTGGAGTATTTCATTGCTGATCCCAGGAACATAACTGGGAAAAATCGCCCCCAACCCTGGGCTGGGGTACCAGAACGCCAGGCCCAGCAAATCAAGTCAGCTTTCTCCCATCAGATTGCCCTTATCCTTTGATTCCATTAGTGGAGTTCAGCCCCCACCCTAAAAGCATCATCAGAGCAGAATCCATGTACCCCTGGTCTGGGCTCAGGCTCAAGAAGGGCATCTGAGTCCAGTCTCAGCTGACCCTGCTGGACCCCCAGATCAAGGTGATGCACAAGCAGCTGCTGCTCTTCCACAATGCCGTGTCAGCCTACTTTGCTGGGAACCAGAAACAACTGGAGCAGACCCTGCAGCAGTTCAACATCAAGCTGCGGCCTCCAGGCGCTGAGAAGCCCTCCTGGCTAGAGGAGCAGTGAGCTGCTCCTAGCCAAACCTGGCTATCAAGGACATTGGGAGAGGCAGTCCCAGGGTGGGAGAGATTGGACATGGGACATCCCTTGCCACCAGCCCTCTGGCTTGGGTTCCTTTTCCCTGGCTGGGGCCTCACACCAGTTTTGCCCAAACTGCTGTGGTAGGGAGGGGGCCTGCAGGCCCAGCAGCTGCTGCCCTGTCCTTTATCTTCCTGGCCACTGGGCTTCATTCCCAGATCTTTTCCTTCCACTCCAAAGCCAAAGGCTATGACAAAACCACTCCCTGGCCAATGGCATTACTCCTCAGGCCTATCCCCAGCTCCTGGGGTGTGCCCCCTGACCAATGGCAGAGCCTCAAAAGGCCCTGTCAGCCAATGGCAGCTCTTCTTGGGCTCCCCAGGGCCAATGATGTTGCCTCCAATACCCTTTGTCCCTCCTCTATGCGTCCCCATTGCAGAGGAGGGGACTGGGACCAAAGGGGTGGGGATAATGGGGAGCCCCATTTCTAGCCCTGCATCTGAATGGGCTTCCCCTCACCTACCCACCCAGTTTAATTGTGCTTAGAGCCCTGGAAGATTGGGACCTAGCACTAGGAATAAACCTTTCATAAAAGCAGGCCCAGTGAGGTCAATTTGTGGAGGGGGGACTTTAGGAGGGCGGGCTGGGTGGAGAAGTACTCAGTCTGATCATACACCAAAATCCTATCAAGTCAGAAGAGCAGAGGCCAGATAGCTGAAGTCACAGGTTTCACAAACAGTCTCGAGATCCTACTCCTCCCCCAGCCCCATCTGGAGCCTAAGCTTTATTTGCTCTTTAGGCCAGCACCGAGATAGCTATGGTCTTAAAAGCACAGGGCCTAGAGGGGGTTGGGCCCGCTGACCTTCATCATCCATTCATTCATACAGCAAATATTTACTAAGTGCTTTTATTTGCCAGGCACTGCGCTAGACCCTGGGGAAACATCAGTGAATAAAACACAGTCCCTGCCCACAGCGCTCATGGCCTAGTGGGGGATAGAGACCAGTAACCAGGCAACTACAATACAGTGATGAGTACTAGGATACAGAAGTTCAGGGAGCTATGGGAGTGCAGATGAGGGGCGTCTAGCCCAGACTAGAGCAGAGATGAGATGTCAACTTGAAAACTAAGACCCGAATGGCAAATAGGCACAGCCAGCAAAGAGTAGGGAGAAGAGCAACCTAGGCAGAGATACCAGTATATGTGTTGGCCATGATAGAACCAGAGTGCAATTCACTTTGGAAGGAAAAGTGGAAGGGGAGTGGCTAGAGGATGACTACAGAGGTGAGGCAGTGAGGGGTTGCACTGGGCCTGTTCAGGCTCATTAAGAACTTTTGTCCTTAGAGGAGAAAGGGAGCTGTGAAGCTTTTTCAAGCACAAGTTTGATGGGATGGGAGAAATCTATGGTTGAGAAAGTAGTCCTCATGAAGCCTGAAATAGTGTTATACAGACCCTGGCTCCCTCACATTGGGTAGTCTAGTCGCCCTGGCCCAAAACCCCAAAGCAAGCATGAACCCTGAGGCTCATTCAGAAACATTAGAGCACCTGTGCTGGGTGCCAGACCTCATCAAGTGGATGAGAGGTTGAGGGTGCACCCAGATGTTGAACCCTTATCAACCTTGTGTGGGGCAAGAAAGCACTCCAACAGCACTTTGACTCAGTCAGGGCCCAGGTACCATCACTTCTGTGCTCCTTGGCCAAGGAGAGCTCCAGATTTTTCAATGTTCTCCCCTACCTCTGGAGAGCTGCAAGAAGGGGACAACCCAGTCAGCAGATTCTCATAGACCTGAGATCTGCAGCCTGGTTTTGCTCTTTGTCACTGACTCTGCAGCTCCCAGGCAGCCTTTCTGGGTTTTGGTCAGCCTGCAGTCATCTGACTGGAGTTTGATTATTAGGTTGGGTGGTCCACGTACAATCCCCCCCCCCCCCAACTTATGGGCCATTGGGGACTTCCAACATGAAATATACTGAGTCTCCAGGTGACTGGGGGCAAGATCTAAAGCAGTGCTCTAACCCTGGCTACACCACTTTCTAGCTGAGTTAGCTGATCAGGGTTAACGTCTGGGGAGCCAAGGGCCCTCAGTTTCTTCTGCTGTAAAACACATCTAATAAAAGAAGATACCTATTAAGATTATGAATATTGAAGGAGATAATATATGTAAAGTGATTCGTTATGTGTCTGGCACATAATAAGCACTCAGTCCCTGTTAACTGTTATTATAATTTTTATTATTTTCCACCGGGGCTGCTTTTCCACAATGCGATGACTGAATTGCTCTGGTCTTTGGAGTGTGGAAGGGAGTCGCTGGATGGTCTGAACCATAATCTCCTCGCAAGGGGGCTCCTCACCTACAGCCAAATCAAGTCCCCCACCTTTCACCCCGTCCACTCCTTCTCCTAGCGGTCTGGGTACTGCCCTTCCACCTGGGGGCCCTTCTGTCGCCTAGAGATCCATGCAGAGGTACAGACTATCCCGTGTCCCCCTGCGCAGCAGGGAACACGCTAGCATATTCCCAAGGAGCCCCCGAAGAAAGCTGGGAAGTGCACCTCCTGGAGGGCCCGGACCGGCTCCCAGAGTCCGAAATTTCTGCTGCTCAGCTGCGTTTTCTTGACGGAGCCTCACCCCAGTCCCTGAGAACTGCCTCGGAGCGGTGGGGAGCCGGAGGCAGCTGGCAGAGATCGTGGATCCGGGATCCGGCTCACGCGTTCCCCTACCCGCGGGCTGAGGCAGCTCCCGTAGGAGCCTCGAGGGGGTTGGGGGAGCCGGGCGGGTGGGGTAAAGGGGGTGGGGCCTCCGCGGCGGCGGGCGGGTCGTGGGTGGGTCTTCAGCACCCGAGCCGCCCCCTCCCCCGGCGGGTCCGCAGCCCCGCCCCGGCCCCTCCCTCCGGCCTGTGCGGCGGGTCCGGCGGCGGCGCCGGCGCGGGGACAGGCGGAGGCGCGGGACGTGGGGCGGCGCCGCGGGCAGGGCCGGGCGGACGGGCGCTGGCAGCGGGGGCAGCGCCGCGGGCCGCTCCGAGTGGCCGCAGTCTGGGCCTTGGCCCTCCCATCCTGCTCCGCCGCGGTGAGTGCGACGGGCGGCCCCCAGGGGCGCGTTTGTGTCCCTGTTTGCTCGGGTCCGTGTCCAGATCCGAGCCGCGGTGTGTCGTCCGAGTATCTGTGGGTGGGGGCACAGATGCTTTTCAAAAGCTGTGCCTGTCTCTGTCCACGTGAGGCGTGTCCGTGTCCGTGAGAGCAGTGGGGGGATTCTTCGGGCTGTGGCTGCTCACGTGAGGTCCATGTTTGAGGGGGGAGGCGCGGGTGGATGGGTGATGGTTCCTTGGAAGAGCGCGGGGTTTGGGAGCTTCTATATGTTGACGGAGGGTGTCGAACGCTGCGGCCGAGGGTGGCGGTGGTGTGGCGGGTGGGGTTGCTGAATGGAACTCTGGAATCTTGTGGCCCAGCTTGTCTGAAGGGTTCCTTTCTCCCTGGATGCAGACACTTCCACCCCTAGCTTCCCCCACCATCCTCCTCAGACACCCAGAAGCCCACCAGCCAGGGTGGAGGACCCTCTTTCCTCCTCTAGTGCTGCTCCCTTGACAGGAAGCCTCATCCGGAGGCTGCTTGTTGTAGGAAAGGACCCCTCCGGTTCCCCTTCAGCCTGGGCCCTGCCTGGAGGACCCCAGGCCCCTCCCTGGTTTCAGCCTCCTCCCTTCTGGACTTGGCTTCAGATCCTGGGCTGCAAACCTGCAGGGACAGATGGGTTGCAGGTTGGAGGGGCAGGCTGCACCCCAGAGAGGGCGATCTGACTGAAGGCAGGTGCTGGGCTTGTTTCTTGTGTGAAGGGTCTCTGATATAGACACCATACACCCAGGACTAGCCCCAGTAGGAAGATGAAATCTGGGAGGTTGGAGTCGGTGCAATCGGTACGGAGGTCTTTTTTACAGGTCTCTCCCTGTTTGTCCAGCTCACCAGTGCCCATTCATCCCCTAAGTAGGGCTCTGATTTGCTGCAGGATTGGAATTAGCTGCAGGCCCGACAGGTGCCCTGCCTCTCTTGGCTTACATGCCTCCAGTGACAGAGCACTTACTACCTTATGCTGTGGGGAAGCTTTTGTATGCTAAGCAGAGGTCTTTTTCCTTGGAACTTTGTTCTCTTGTCTTGTTATTGTCTGTGCTTTTGCGTCTCTGTCTGGTGAGAGGAAACTGCAGTGATTTAAACATGGCTCTCCTGTCACCAACATATACTGAGCACCCTCTGTGTGCCAGGTGCTGCCTCAGCCACTTAGGGGACAATGGCATTCTTGCTGAGAGAAGAGCTTGAGCAAAGGCCCATGGTTGTGATAGTACAGCCTGTGTCCAGAAAATCAGCAAAACCCTATGGCTGAAGAGAGGGTGCCCAGAGGGAGTGTCATGGGTGCCCTAAACTTAGCAGATGTTTATTCTGGAAGGGCAGTGGAAACAGCTGCACACCTAACCTTACCATGGAAAGCAGTAATCAAATCCTCAAGGTGGTACAAGATGAGATTTAATCATGGCACATATTACAGTCTGTAGGGACATTTGGCTGGAAAGAGAACCCCAGGAATTGCAGATTTGGAGAACAAAAAGACCCTCCCCATCCCAATTTACAAGGGGCTGGAGTAGAAACTTGTCCAGCGTCTTACCTTGAATTAGTGAGATTAGTGACAGAGTCAAGACTGCCTCCTAAATCTCCTGACCTTTTAACTTTGACACATTTTAGAAGCAGAATCAAGGATATAATCATAGTTGGTATCTGAAAGGTGAAAGAACAGGAAGAATTGAGAAGATTCCCATAATTCTGGCTGCTGTGGCCAGGTGGATGATGGTACCTTTCGTTGAGATAAGAAAGGCCAGCAGGAAGAGTAGGTTAGGAGGAAAATCAGTTTTAGACTAATCTCTATGCATCATCCACATAGAGATGTTCAAGATACAGCTGGGTATATGGGTCTGGTGTGCAAGAAAGTTTTCTGCAGAGATAAGGCTTTGAGAGTCAGGTGGATGGTTACTGAAGCCACGGGAGATGGTGAGATTTCCCAGGGAGAGTATATGAAACTAAGAGAAGAGGCCCCAGATCAAGGACCTTGGGAGCTAAACATTTAAGGAATGAGCAGTGAAGACACAGCTAGAGAGGCAGGTGCAGAGTCCTCCGTGAGTGTGTTCTAAGAACATCTAGGACAACCTCTGTCCTTTTGAGTCTTTCTCTCTGAGTCTTGCTCTCTTGCCTCAACTGGTCCATATTTCTTAATTTTTCATGCTTCGATTCCTTTACTCACTGTTTTCCTAGTGTACCTGTCAAACGCCCTCAAGAGTCAACTCATATATCCCTTTCTCTGAAAGCCTTCTTTATTCTTCCTCAGCACCTTCAGAGTTAGATACTTCCTCCTCTTTTTGTCCATAATAGTTAGAATATGTCAATATCATGACAGTTACCACATTATAGTTCTGTATTTTCATGTCTCTTCCCCACACTAGTTTGAGAATTCGTGAACGACAGGGAGTGCATCTGCTTCAGCTCTGTGTCTCCAGTTCCCAGTTTAAGAGCCTGGCCCAGAGTATGCCCAGGGAAGTTTGATTGTTTCATAGGTTGATCAGCGGATT